TGCGCAGCGGGTGACACTGCCGCTTTAAGGAATGCTTCAGTGTCTAAAGAGTACGTCATTTCTATATGCACCGCCCGAGTGGCTAAGCAAGTAAAAAGACACATATCTCTTAGCTTTTGGCTTACGCCGTCCTTGTTTCGTATAAAATGGTCCACAATAGTCAGTTCCAATACGATCAAACGCTCGCAGGGGTAACTGCAGTCTTTATTTAGGAAGTGGGGCCATTACTTGTCCTATTGGCTTCGCTTTTGATCTCCGACATTTAAGACAGTTCTCAACAACAGTTCGTACTGCTCGTCTGCCCTTTATGATCCAAAAACGCGAACGGGTCTCGGTTAGAAGATGTTCCACACCTGAGTTATGACCAATTTTTTCATGTCGATTTTCGATGATAAGGCGCGTCACTGGATGGTCTTTAGGTAAGATTATAGGATGTTTGACGTCATGTGGAAGGTCGTCGGCAAAACGAAGACGTCCACTGATTCGCAATAAACTGTCCTCGTCTTGTTGAGGGCAAAATCTGATCAAACAATTCTCCTTCTCATCGTTTGGAAACGCTTCGGCTTGCGTCCTTCGTATCCAGAATGTTTCTGCATCAGAAATCTCCGCTCGTTGAAGTACGTTGTTCTTTTTTTACGCTGTTCGTTGGGTAACTGACAGTTTTTTAGAAAACGCTTCACCCAAGCTGTAATACGCAGTAGTTGGGAAAAGCTGGAAAACTTTTCTGGCAGGAGACGATCATTGACGTTGGTTTCTTCTGTTGCAAACGTGAACTTACTTTTTCTTTGTTCGCGTTCTTCATCTCCGATTGTGGGATTCTTTGGTAACTTCTCCGGCCACGTAGATTCATCTTTCTTTAAAATCTCTGGTCCTTCCATCCACACCTTGCTCTGCGATAATTGTGTTGCGGATAAACCTCTTGTCGGTAAGTCGGCAGGGTTGATCTCCCCGGTATGTGGCGCCACTGGTCTGGATTTGTGCTTCGTTGGATCTCTCCAATCCGGTTGGCAACAAATGGTTTAAAGTTCCTACTTTGGTTTCTAACCCAGTAAAGTACATTGGTGGAATCTACCCAGAAGGTAACGCTTTCGACTGTTAAAACTTTTACCAGGTTTTTCGCCAAGCGAGTCGCAAGCACTGCTCCCATTAGTTCGAGTCGTGGAATTATCATTGCTTTCGTCGGTGCAACGCGACATTTAGAAGCGATGAGACGTGAGGTCGGTGGATGGTTAACATATTTGCACACTAAGTAGGCAACTGCAGCGTACGCAGCTTTGGACGCATCTGAAAACATATCTAGTTGAATGCTTGTTGGAAGGGCGTTACGTAGACAGCGTGGAATTGTGACGTTGGGCAATTCTTGGAACTCAGAAATCCACGTTTTCCATTTCGAATCTAATTCTGCTGGCAGAACATCGTCCCAGTCCAGACCTGCTGCCCAAATTTCTTGCATTAATAATTTCGCTCGTATAGTAAATGGAGATAAGAATTGGAGTGGGTCGAAAAGGGATGCGATGCAACTTAAAACGCTTCTCTTTGTAGACATAGAATTGGTGGGTGGCTGAACTTGAAAGGTAAACGTGTCCGTTTCCGCATTCCATGTTACTCCTAAGGTTTTATGCGTCGGTAAATCTTTTCCTTCAGCGATCTCCACACCTGACACACGATCTTCAATTGGAACGTCCGCGATGACCAACGTTTCGTTCGAAAGCCACTTTCGTAATTTGAAACCCGCGTCCGATAAGACTTCCGAAAGATCACGTCGTAATAACAAGCTTCCTCGATTGTCTCGAACGAGTCGAGGACATCATCAACATACATCGAATTGTCTATAGTCTCTGCGACCTTTGACTTCTCTTCGCTAAGAGTCTGTCCATGCGTCTGTAAAACATACTGAGCGCAGAATGGCGATGCCGCGTTTCCAAAAGGAAGACGTTGGAATTCGTAAATCTCAGGCTGACGCTGTTGGTCACAATTCCTCCAAAGGAATCTGTGGTATGGACGGTCCTGACTTCGAAGACCGATTTGAAGAAACATCTGGGAAATGTCTGCAGATAGAGCTACAGGGGCACGTCGAAAACGACAGAGTACATCAACTAGTTCTCGTTGCAGCTTAGGCCCGGGAAGAACTGCATCATTTAAGCATTTCTCATCGTGTTTTGCCGCCGCGCCAAACACTATCCGAACTTTCGAGGTAGTCTTGTCGTTGCGAATGACAGGGAAGTGTGGCAGGTACCATTGATCTCCTTCTGCTGTACGGGGTACCTTTTTCACGTAACCCTTTTCAACGTATTCTTCTATGATACTGTTGTAAGATGAGCCAATTTCTGATCCTTTTTTAAGTAATGATCTTTCCAAACTCTGCAATCGTGAAAATGCCTGGTCGTAATTGCTTTTGAATATAGGTTCGTTTACTTTCCAAGGTATTCCAATTTCATACCGGTTGTCTTGCTTATGCAGTGTCTCTTCTGCAAACTTAGTCGCTCTCGCTTCGTCTGGCGTTAACACTGGTGTGTCCTCGTGTTTAATTCCCATTGACTCCAACTCCCAAAATTGTCGCAAAATATTGTTCGTTGATTCTTCGTGATTTGTTCCAGCCAAGCTGGATCGATAGGTGCGTGTGACATGTATACGCGAGTTATTGTGGATTCCAGTTGTTGATGTCGGTCCAAAACAAACCCATCCGAGGTTTGTACGCCGAGCATGCAATTGGGTCGTTGGCTTGTGGTCCATGTATCTCTTGAAGAACATAGTGGAACAAAGGATGATCACTGCCGATTAAGAGGTCAATCTGGCATCGATTTGCCACTCGTTCAAACGGAACTTTCTGAAGGTGTGGCCAATTTTCTTTAAGGTCGGACCACTCTATTGCTGGGGTAGTTCCAGTGATATCATCCAAGACGTTAGCTTCGACCGTCGCTGAGAAATTTCCTTTGACATTAGATACATTCAAATTGACCCTACGAGACATCTTTTGCACTTCAGTGCCTCCTGTTCCGGTCACAGTTAGATGTTGTGTTCGTCCTTGCAGCTTTAGTTCTTCCGCTGCATGTTCTGATATATAAGAGCCAGTTGAGCAAAGATCAAGCATAATGTTCACATTTACTTTCTTCTTTTGGTTGGGATTGGAAATGAAACCAGGTAGCACCATCAAGGACACTTTATCGATTTGATTGGTTGTAAAGGTAGAACTAGTAGCGTTCTCGTTTTCGTTTGGTTGTTCAGCTCCATTCGGGGGATTACTGTTATTACTTTCGTTATCCATAGGATTTCTGTTAGACTGGTGTAAATACCTACTATGAGTGACACTCTTGCAACCATCAATACCGCAGGGCACAGTTCTAGAACATCTTCTACTGTGATGACCTGACGCCAGACAACGAAAACAACGTCCGCTTTTTGCTATCAATTCTTTCCGTTTAGTCACTGGTAACCTTTTAAATGCTTCGCAAACCCACGGTGGATGATCCTCTCGGCAGTTGTCCACAACACATCCTCTCGCTCTCTTACCCGTATTGATCCCACGGTTGTTTCTCCTATTGTCAGTTCTTGTGCCTCCTCCTTTACTGTCTCCACCAGCTTCTTCCTTCGCTTCGTCCATTATGTGAACTTTCATTTCAACCCAGTCAACTAAGTTTTCGAAACAATCTTCTCTATCATGTTCGAAGAGCCAATATTTGTACGATTGAACATCATCTTCCGTCAATTTTTCCTTAGCTGTTAAATTGAGATGTTGGCTCTTTAGTTCCACATTATCTTGTATTGCTACCAGAATCTTATCCAAAATGGAAAGGAATTCTTCCAGGTCTTCAAGATTTCGACGCCGCACCTTCGGCCATCCACGAAGGGTTGTCAGAAGTGTTATG